CTAAGCAACTCAGTGAGACCCTATCTCTAAATAAAGTACAAATAGGGCTGGGGATATGGCTCAGTGGTTGAATGCCCCTGAGTTCAATGCCCGCTACCCTCCCTGCCAAAATTTATTAATTTGATTTTTATATCCGCTGAAGAACCAGTGACATATAACATTCCTCTAAAGTGGGGAAAGTGTTTATCGAACAGAATTTAGGCAATAACAACATTTGCACTTTTTCTTAAAAAAAAATCATGGACACACCCTTAAGGAGGTCATCCAAAAGCTAGTGGCATTGAAGCCTGTGGATAGATTTGAGCCACTAAGATTTGTGGTAGCTCTTCCAATTTGAGAGAAGCAGAAAATCAGCCCATTGTGTGGAGACAGAGTTTTATTTGCCAGCAATGCCAATAGCAAAGTGGAGAAATGGGGTTAAGAGCAAGAGAAGCAGATAAGGTAGTGACCTAAAAATCACAGAGGTCACGGGAAGTCTAAAGGATACATCTCAAGTAACTGGAGGTGAGGGGTTCTCCCTAGAGACCGCTTTTGAAAAAGTGGGGGATGATGGGATGATGGGTGGACCTTTTATTTTTCTAGATGAGCCAGGTTCCTGATTGGTGGCCCAGTGTTGCGTGTGCACCAAACTCCACCCCTTGAGCCTTAGCAACGGGAAAGGGAAAGACTGTGATTGGCAGATCCAGTTAGGAGCTCCGTGGAGCCAGGAGGGGGTGCTATTTATGCTGGTCCTAGGAGTTTGGTGCAGTCTCCAGGAGATGGCTACGCTTTCAAACCTAACACTTTCTGGGAAAGTGCTAACAAACCCCAACAATGGGGGAAAGCTGGCTTTTCTGGATATGTCTCTAGGTATGTAGAGGCCAGAACCCATCCCCCAGAGTCAGGGCTAGATGTGTTTGAGTGGGAGACCTCCTTCTGTCTAGCACAGGCTGGCGATGGCGTTGCCGCCCTCTCTCAAGAAAGGCTTCCACCTCATGTTACCAAACTCGCCCCATCCCAAAAATACCCTCCGTGCTGTCCCTGGTCTCTGCTCCCTAATCGTGCCTCTATCCTTTAGTAGGGGAACCCTGACAGAAATTGCATGGGGTGTGCTGGAAGTTGCTGGTGGGGACACCTGAGGGAAATTTTAAAAGGCAATCTTTTGGATGTGTTTGATTTTCCTGAGAGATGACTCCAAGCCGCGTTCCTCTTTCAGGCCTGCGAGGTCACATGAACTCCTCATATTCAAGTGTGTCATAAATGACTAACTGCCAGGGACCGGTTGCTAGGGACTCCCTGGAATTGCGTAGAAGGAGTGGGAGAAGGGGCGATTGGTTGGCCGGTTGGTTAGTTTTTATGTAGTGCTAGGGAGTGGACTCAGGTCTTCGTAGATGCTGGCGAGTGGTTTCTGTAGATGTTGGCAGGTGGTTTTGTCGCTATTCGCCCACTGCTCCTACCCTGGCGCCTCCTAGTCTCTTATTTCAGACCTTTAAATGGACAGTGAAGCCCTTAAAGTTTTAATTCCTTTCCCAAGACTCGTAATTCCCATGGGGGACAGATTTTATTTTATTTAGATTTTTAAAGATGGACACAATATTTTTATTTTTACTTATCTATGTTTTTATGTGATGCTGAGGATT